AGTCTCTTAATTGCAAATAACAAAGACTCAACTCAAAGTAGCTTGACCAAAGTAGGAGTTTGTTAACTAATCACAGAAGGGACAAGGGGGTGCTTACTCAGAAACCACCCAATCCAAGGACACTCCCTGTCCCTCCCTCTACCCCCCAGTCCCAGCTTCACTCTGCCAAATTTCTCATCACTGCTTTTCCTTGTGAGTTGGTGTAAATTTCTTCTACTGAAGGTGGACTTCCTCTATTTGGTAGGAAAAATAGCCATTTGATGGTAAAGAATAGGCTATTTTGACTCAGCTTCCATCCCAGGGATCACCTATTTTAGGTCAAATGTCATTAGTAAATGTTAGCTGCCTGTGTCAGCCATCATTATTACTATTTGAATGAAGAGAAGTTGCGGGGGGAGAACATTCAAAGCCAAGAGAATAACTTAATTGGAAACATGAAAGTGAATGTCATTTTCTAAAATGGCTCAGTGTGGTTGGGATGTAGAGTACGGTGCAAACAACAGTGATGAGAGATAGTGCTAACAAGAGGTAGTTTGGGACTAGATCGTAAAGGGCCATACATAGATTTCAGTTAAAGAATTGTGACTTTTCAAAAAATACAGTGAGAGCCATTGAAAAAAAAGAATTATGGCCTCACTTTTTTTTCCTGATCTGATATTCAGGCTTTCTTTTTATTTTTTTATGGAAAATTCCCAACATATACTGCAATAAAAAGAATTGTATAATGACTCCAGTGTACCCATCACCCAGCTTTAATAGTTACCAATATATGGCCAATCCATTGAAGATTTTTAAGGAAGGCAAGAAAGGAGATTAACATTGTGCCACTTCCTTTGTTTAATCTTCACAGTGTACCTGTGGAGTGTATGGTATTCCCACTTTCCCTAATTACAAATGAGAAAACCATCAAAATGAGGAAGTAAGTAACAGTGCTGGCCTTCTAATCCACATCCAACTTACTTCAAAACTCAAGTTCTTTCCCATGCTACATCATGCTGCCTCTAATTCTGATGTTAGTGTGATTCTGTTGAAGATAGCTGCTGATCTGCCTACGTGCTGCATTGGGGCTGTTAACCCTGTTCAGGATGGTAGACTTCTCTGCTCTAGCCACTCTCCCTCCTCCAGGGTCACCAGGATCTGAGTCTACGTAGGTGCTCAACCTAATCAGCTAAAATAACTATTTAGTCCGTCAATTCTCAAAGTATGGTCCCCAGACCAGCAGCAAGCTGTTAGAAAATATAAATTCTCACCGCCCCCCCAATCCCAACCTACTGAATCAGAAATTTGGAGGCTAGGAGCTCATGATGCCTATATTGCCATTTGCTGTGTGGGGTGTTTTTGTTTTGTTTTGTTTTGTTTTCCTATTTGCTGTGTTTAAATAAAATGCCCCAGTTGTTTCCTGCAAATATGAGGTTAAGACTATCTACCAAGAGCATTTCCAAGACAAAACCATATTAGAAGAATTTATGTTTCTTTTTTAACAAGTTCATGCAAAGCATGTCCTAAGTTAGGAATTCTTATTCAGACAACACTAGTAGTCTTGCTGGGGATGTGTTACTTAACTACATGGAAAGGAGTTTTAAGGAATTTATACTGCCTATATTTAAAGTGCTTGATGGTGCCATCTGGTGGTGTAAGCACTATAGAACGTGCAGCTTTATTAGTGCTTCAGGAATAGAATGTGTGTATTTTTAAAAAATCAGTTTTAGGGGCGCCTGGGTGGCTCAGTCGTTAAGCGTCTGCCTTCGGCTCAGGTCATGGTCCCAGGGTCCTGGGATCGAGCCCCACATCGGGCTCCCTGCTCGGCGGGAAGCCTGCTTCTCCCTCTCCCACTCCCGCTGCTTGTGTTCCCTCTCTCGCTGTATCTCTCTCTGTCAAATAAATAAAAAATCTTTAAAAAAAATAAAATAAAATAAAAAATAAAAAATCAGTTTTAGGGGTGCCTGGGTGGCTCAGATGGTTAAGCGTCTGCCTTCGGCTCAGGTCATGATCCCGGGGTCCTGGGATCGAGCCCCATATCAGTCTCCTGGCTCAGCCGGGAGCCTGCTTCTCCCTCTCCCTCTGCCTCTCCCCCTCCCTCTGCCTCTCCCCTTGCTCATGCTCTCTCTCCCTCTCTGTATCTCTGTGTCTCAGATGAATAAATTAAAAAATCTTTTAAAAAAATAAATAATTAAAAACAAATAAATAATTAAAAATTAGCTTTATAGGGGCGCCTGGGTGGCTCAATCAGTTAAGCGTGTGACTTTAGGTTTCGGCTCAGGTTACAATCTCAGGGTTGTGGGATTGAACCCTGTGTGGGGTTCCATGCTCAGCAGGAGTCTGCTTGGATAGTCTCTCCCTCTGACTCTTCCCCTGCTTGTACGCATGCTCTCTCTCTCTCTCTCTAATAAATAAATGAATCTTTAAAAAAAATCAGTTTTATAGTAAAAGTTTAATGGAATAGCCAAACATAAGCTGTACAAAGAATTTAGTATAAAACCTCCATTGCGGATTCTTAGATATACCAAAACACAAGCAACAAAAGAAAAATGGCTAAATTAGACTTCATCAAAATAAGAACGTTTGTGCATCAAAGGACACTATCGAGAAAGTGAAAAAAATAGCCCACAAAATAGGAGAACATATTTGGAAGTCATACATCTCATAAAATATATATATCCAAATAAACGAAGAACTCTTAAAATTCCACAACAAAAAGACAGACAAACCAATTTAAAAATGAGTGAAGGACTTGAATAGACATTTCTCCAAGGACAATATACAGATAGCCAATAAGCACATGAAAAGATACTCAACATTATTAGTCATTAGATAAATGCAAGTCAAAACCACAATGAGATACTGCTAAGATGACTTGAATAATTTTAAAAAACAGAAAATAACAAGTGTTGAAGAAGATGTAGAGAAATTAGAACCTTCATACATTGCTAATAGGGATGTAAAATGATGCAGCCACTGTGGAAAAGTTTGGCAGTTCCTCAAATAGTTAGACATAGAATTACCAGAGGACCCAGCAATTCCACTACTAGGCATATACCCAAGAGAATTGGAAACAGATGTTCAAATAAAAACTTGTACTAAATGTTCATAGCAGCATTATCCATAATGGCCAAAAAGTGGAAACAACACAAATGGCCATCAGCCAATGAATGGATAAACAAAATGTGGTATATCCATACAAGGGAATATTATTTGGCCATAAAAAGAAATGAACTATTAGTACATTGATGAACTTTGAAAACATTATGCTACATGACAGAGGCAGGCGCAAAAGGACACATGTTCTATGATTCTATTTATATGAGATGTCTAAGAATAGGCAAATTCATGGAGATAGAAGGATTAGTGGTTGCCAGAGGTGGGGGGGAAGGGGGGGCATGGGAGTCACTGCTAGTGGATATGGGATTTCTTTTGGGGCAGTGCACATGTGCTGGAATTAGATAGTAGTGGTGGTTGTACAACATTGTGGATGTACTAAAAGCCACTGAATAGTATACTTTAAAATAGCTAAAATAGTGGATTTTATGTTGTACAAATTTTACCTCAATTTTTAAGACCTCCATTGATAGGCAAGAGTCCAGAACCTTTTTTGATTATTATTATTATTATTATAGATATATTTTGCCCATACTTGTTGCTAATATGTATGCTATTCTATTTTTTTTTTAAGATTTTATTTATTTATTTGAGAGAGAGAGAATGAGAGACAGAGAGCATGAGAAGGAGGAAGGTCAGAGGGAGAAGCAGACTCCCTGCTGAGCAGGGAGCCTGATGCGGAACTCGATCCCGGGACTCCAGGATCATGACCTGAGCCGAAGGCAGTCGCTTAACCAACTGAGCCACCCAGGCACCCGCTATTCTATTTTTTTAACCTAAAATTATTTATACATGCTTTTGCAACTATAGTTACCACAGTTTTTGTTGGCATACATATTTTAGTCATTATATATATAAATCTCATAGCTTAATTGTTTTTCAAATGTTTGGTGGTTTTCTTTTTTTTTTTTTCCTTTCAATTTCAGTGAGTCCTACTCTAAATGCTTAAACAAAGAACATTTAAAACTCCTTAGAGACATTTCATTGGTATTTCTTCCCCAAAACTGTACTTCCGAGTCACTTTTTTTTATTTTTATTTTTTTTAAGATTTTATTTATTTGAAAGAGCACACAAGCAGGGGGAGTGGCAGGCAGAGGGAGAGGGAGAAGCAGGCTCCCTGCTGAGCAAGGCGCCTGATGTGGAGCTTGATCCCAGGACCCTAGGATCATGACCTGAGCTGAAGGCAGATGCTTAACCGGCGCCCCCGGAGTCACTTTTTTTTAAACCATTTCTATTGTGTTTTTTTTTCTGCTCTATAGTAAGAAAAACTTATAATCCCTACCAACAGTGGATGAGGAAAAATGGAGGAGATTGGGGTGCCTAGGTGGCTCAATCGGTTAAGCATCTGCCTTCAGCTCAGGTCATGATCCTGGGGTCCTGGAACTGAGACCCATGTCAGGCTCCCTGCTTCTCTCTCTCCCTCGGCCACTCCACCTGCTTGTGCTCTCTTGCTCTCTCTCTGTCAAATAAATAAATAAAATCTTTTTAAAAATGGAGGAGATTAATGTTTGCATGTCTACTCTCTTTCAGGCACTGGGCCTGGATCCTTTCACATCCATTGTTTCATTCCACTCCCATACCTATTCTGTTATAAAGTGACTACAGTGGTTGACGCAGTTAATAAACAGACAAAGATCAGAACCTAGCAACTTTGTCTCCAAGTTTTGTTCTGTTCCCACAGCTTTACCAATATTGGATTTTCTCTTTTTTAGTTCTTATTTATTAGAAAGATACAACATTTTCCCAGGTGATTGTTTACTGTTTACATGTACGCATATATAACAATCTTTATCTTTTGTCCACTCATTATTAATGGATTTTAAACTGAATTTACCTTGTGAACACTAGGCATTATGTATCAGAGCTTTGTCATAATTTTTTTACTTCTGTTTACTCTTTTACAGGCTCTTGATGGAAACATATATGATCACCTGAAGGATTATTTAATAGCCTTCAGCCGGACTGAGCTAGAGACATGCCAAGCTGTGCAGAACACATTCCAGTTTTTATTAGAAACCTCCAGCAAGGTAAGTTACCTTTAGTGAAATATGTGATGTTATCCATTTTAGAATCTAAAATGTCTTTGTATATAAACAAAATGAAGGTACCAACATAATAGAAGAATGCTTTAAAGGGCAAATTTCCTGGAAACAGTATTCCTTCTAACAAAGTTGGAAGGTGTTCTCTTCTCCTTGATGAGTTGGCACAAAGGGGAAAAAGGGAGGTGATGATACAAGCTAGATCAGGACATGAGCCTGCTGCCATATATGTTGCCTTTTTTTTTTTTTTTTAAGATTTTATTTATTTATTTGACAGAGAGAGAGATAGCGAGAGCAGGAACACAAGCAGGGGGAGTGGGAGAGGGAGAAGCAGGCTACCAGTGGAGCAGGGAACCCGATGCAGACTCGATCCCAGGACCCTGGGATCATGACCTGAGCCAAAGGCAGATGCTTAACGACTGAGCCACCCAGGCGCCCCTATATTTTGCTTTTGAGAAGAAATGATTTAAAGAGTTTTACCTTCCACTCAAAATAAATTTTGAATGCATTCAACTCATTCATATGGGAGAACAACAAGGTCATGTCTCAGTGCAAAGAATAATAAAAGGGCACAAAAAGGAAAGTAGCATTTTATAATCATTAAAGAAATGAATACTCAGTCCTGTTTCTTTTTTTTTTTTTTAATTTTTTTTTTAAAGATTTTATTTATTTATTTGAGAGAGAATGAGATAGAGAGCATGAGAGGGGGGAGGGTCAGAGAGAGAAGCAGACTCCCTGCTGAGTAGGGAGCCTGACGTGGGACTCGATCCCGGGACTCCAGGATCATGACCTGAGCCGAAGGCAGTTGCTTAACCAGCTGAGCCACCCAGGCGCCCAGTCCTGTCTCTTTTTAAATTAACCTTACCTTCTTCTATATGCTATCATTCTTTGATAGTAATCTTAAAGTGTTGAGATCCAGCAGCTTTGCTGGCATGTTCACACTGTGTGCAGAGAAAACAAACAAAATTGTTTGAATTCTTTAGGATCTGACAGATTAAAATATTTTGCAGCAGAAAAACTGTCCTTTTGAAGATAAATTGTTCTTGTGATTAGTAATGTTATTTTTATTCTGATAAATGCATAGCAAATATTTCCTGACTGAATGCATGCATTTGTAAAAATATATTCATTTTATAATGGCTATTTTTAAAGATCCAGTTCGGTCCTTTTTTTTGGCAGGGGAAGCAGGAACTGGCTAATACCTTTAGATATTGTTTGGAAAAGCATCAGGGTTTCTTAAGAAGAGAGTCATAGACTCTTCTTCCTGAATACCTCATTATGTATGTATTCTTGTTTTCAGTGTACCATAGCTCTAATTCTATTTTTAGAAAAACATTTAAAATATAAAGTTGATGTGGAAATATAAAGATCACTAGTATGGTGCTTTGAAATCCTGTCATACTTCTATTTTCCTTTATTTTTACTCTTCAGAACCTAATACAGGATATAAAAGGATTGACATATGGAAAGAAGGATGGACAGAAAGATGAATAGTTTTGTGAAAGCAAATATTAAGAAATACTAATTGGGAATACCTCTGTGGCTCAGTGGGTTAAGTGTCTGCCTTCAGCTCAGGTCATAATCCCGGACTCCTGAGATAGAGCCCCAAGTTGAGCTCCATGCTCAGTGGGGAGTCTGCTTCTCCCTCTCCCTCTGCCTCTCCCCTTGCTCTTATGCATGCGTGCTCACTCTCTTCTCTCTCAAACAATTAAATAAAATTAAAAAAAAAAAAGAAAAATGTTAATTGAAGAATCTAAGTAGTGTTTCCACTCTTTATTTTAATGTATGTACATTTGACATTTTCCATAAGAGAATGTTAGGGGAAAGAGTCTATAAAAGCATCTTGGCTTTGTTCCATTTATGGAGTCGTTGATTTTTGACTAGTGATCAAATTGTTTATATTTATGGGTCCATTCAGGGTTTCTGTTCCCTTTTTAGTACATTTTGATAACTTACACTTTCCTAGACAATTGTCCATTTCATTTATCAAATTTGATGGTGTATTTTTGTGTATAAACTTGTGTGCCTCTACAGTTGTCTCCTTTTTCATTTCTAATATTGTTTGTGCTTTCTCTCATGTTGATCAGATTTGCCAGTCTATTTTATTAATCTCTTCTAAGAGCCAGCTTTTGTTCTACTCCTCCATGTTATTGTTTATTTCCTTAATTTCTGCCTTTATTTCCTTCTGCTTTATTGCAGCTATGTGCTTACTATTTTTCAGGCTTCTTTTTGTATTAGATCCTGTTTTAGTCTTTCTTGTTTTCAGGTAAATCCATTTAAAACTAAAAATTTTCTTTTTCTGCTTTAACTGCATTATGTATGTAGGGCTGTTTGTTGTTTCTACATTTTTCCTCTTGTTAACTCATGAGTTATTTGAGAAGTGAGTTTTCCCAGTTTTCATTCAGTGGGAGTATGTAGTGGGGTAATGTTTTTCATTTCTAATTTTATTAGAAATTATATTTTGTTTTTATTTTATTACATTCTAATTTTATCAGGGGGATTGTCCTCTGACAAAATTGTCTGAAATCTCCTTTTCTGAGAATAAGTTAGATTGGATACACTACCTTTAGTTTATAAAGCAGGTAAGTGTATAGTCTTAAAAAATAACTCATATTTTACACAGCACTTAATTTTCTAGGAGTTTTTAGCATATCCTCTGAGGTTGGTATTATCATGCCCATTACACAGAGAGGAAAACAGATTCACGAAGTTTATGTGGCTGCCCGAGGTTGCATACTCAGACGTAGCATTTTCCACGCTCTACTACTATACTGTGTTATCTCTCTAACTTGTATTATTTGCGTAGAAAATGAATTTAAAATGTATAAACTGATTTGGGCACATAAAGAGATAAGCTTTCATTTTCCTCTGTAGTCACTCATATGAATATCTTGCTCCCCAGGGATGAGGAACAAATGAGATGCTCTTCTGTTTAGATTGAAAGTAAGAATGATGTAACTAGGGGAGATGAGCCCTTTTGTCCCAAATACCAGAAGAGCTCATAACTCCCAAGTTTTATGCCATGTGCTTTTCTGTTACAAAGAGCTTGTTCCGCTGTTCTTATTATACTGCTAAAAGAAACACAGTGATCTGATAACCAAGAGAGAAGTTTGAAACTCTTCAGGTTTTTATTCTACACCATTATTACTTTGTCTTCTTGGGGGAGGAGTTTATTCCCCCCTTCCCCCACCATATCTAAATTGTAACTGTACATATTCTCAAAGATACTTTGGGGGTAATCTGTACTGACACACTGTAGCTGTTACAGTGCTCTCTATATCTTTCATCCCCTAAAGGGCAACACCTGGCCCTAGGAGTTTTTGTTTAATTTTAATTATTTATGAAGCTTGCTTTTCTCCTTAATATTTTATGAAATGCTTTGCATATGTAACTGAAGCAGATGTTGTCATAAATATTTTCTCTAGGATAGTAACTCCAAAGGTAGTTCTACTGGCCTTTATAGTTTGTTCATGTGTGCTTACTTTCTGTCTGCATAAGTAAACTCTACTAATTAGTAACATAGCTCTTTAAACACTTCAGAAAGTAAAAGTGTTATTCTAGATTTCCTTGGAAATTAAATTGTCTATTACTGCCATTCTTAATACTTTGAAGACTAAGCAAAACGTAAACTTAATAAAATGAACGGGAAAACTACATGATCATCTCAAAAAACGGGGAAAAAAAGACACGGGAAAAGCATTTAACAAAATTAAACATTCTTTTATGATAAAACCACAAATTAGGAATAGAAGGGAACTTCCTTAACAGATAAAAGGCACATATGAAAAACCTACAGTTAACATCATGCTCAATGGTAAAAATCTGAAAGCTTTCCCTCTTGAGACAAAGATGCCCATTTCCTCCACTGTACTGGAAGTCCTAGTCAGATCAGTGAATCAAGGAAAAAAAAAATGGGGCACCTGGATGGCTAGTTGGTTTATCATCTAACTTTAGCTCAGGTCATGATTACGGGGTCCTGGGATTGAGCCCTGCATCAGGGAGTCTGCTTCTCCCTCTCCCTCTGTCCCTCCCCCTGCTTGTGCTTGCTTGAGCACGCTCTCTCAAATAAATGAGTAAAATCTTAAAAAAATAGAGAGAGAGAAAAAATAGAAGGCATCCAAATTAAAAGGGAAGAAGTAAAATTACCTGTATTTGCAGATGATATAAATAGAAAATACTACAGAAACTACAAAAAAAGTACTAGAGCTAATAAATGAATTCAGCGAAAGTTACAGGTGTAAGATCAAGACATGAAAATCAGTTGTGTTTCTATACTCCATCAATGAATAAACCAAAAGAAAATTAAGAAAAAAATTCCAACTATAATAATATCTGAAGAATAAAAGACCAAGAATAAATTTAAATAAGGGATTGAAAGACTTCTACATTGAGAAACTACAAAACATTGCTGAAAGAAATTAAAGAGGACCTAAATAAACAGAAATAATAAATATGGATTGAAAGATTTCATATCACTAATATTTCAGTATTCCCCAAAGCATTGTACAGATTCAGTCATTCCCTATCAAAGTTCCAATGGCCTTTTTTGCAGAAATGGAAAAGCCAGTCCTCAGATTCATATGGAACTCTAAGGGGCCCTCAGGAGCCCAAAAACAACATTGAAAAGAAAAAGCAAAGTTGAAGGACTCAGACTTCGCAATTTCAAAACTTACTGCAAAATTAATCAAAATAGGGCACCTGGGTGGCTCAGTTGGTTAAGTGTCTGCCGTCGGCTTAGGTCACGATCCCGGGGGCCTGGAATCACACCCCGCATCGGGCTCCCTGCTCTGCGGGGAGCCTGCTTCTCCCTCTCCCTCTGCTGCTGCCCCTGCTTGTGCTCTCTCTCTCTCTCTGTCAGATAAATAAATAAAATCTTTAAAAAACATTAATCAAAATAGTGTGGTACTTGCAAAAGGATAGACATAGACCAATGAAATAGAATTGAGAGTCCAGAAATAAGCCCAAACATCTATGGCCATTTGATGTTC